CGTTGTATAGATTGAATGCTTAAAATCCACACTTTTAACAGAATTTCTCTTGTTTGTTTCCATGTGTTACAAGTGAAAAATAATTAAACGAAATGTAGGAAGAGGTAGAGCTGTGAGGGTTAATTAGCGCACCTGACCCCAAATCAGCACTGATCCACTCAGAAGGTTAGTAAATGCAGGTGTGACTACCTTCCTGCTTGAGCATCTCTTTTATGAGGTATTGAGCCTCCTCAGCCACACGTTCCTCTACCGTTTTCTTCCCCAGACCAAAGTTGCGCAGCGTGTGCAGCGCAAAGCGACGCTGCTGTTTCCAAGAATGACCATATGCAGCCATTAGGATACCTGAGAAAGGCAGAGAGAGGTAGAGTGAGATAGAAAGAGAGGGATAATAGGAGTGAATATCAGACACAAAGGCAAAAGAACTGTTAGTCATCTATTGAAAGATGCATCTCACCCTACAGATGAAATAGCAATGCTGAGACATACTGCAGTTAAAAAAGCAAAGCAAAGAAATCTTGTGTTACTTACCATGCCCATTGGTAATCCAGTCTAATATTGGTTCAGCCGGCCTTCCAGCATACACGGCACCATTCTGAACAAAAGTTTCCTTAAACAACTGCAGGCTATTCAACACTATTACTGGCTGCCTGCCCATGTACATGGAAAACATCTCCCCATATTTCTTCATCTGCAGAGGAAGTGAAAGGTTTACTGCATCTGTTTGTTCACTGGCTGGCTTACAATGCACACACAGTTCAGTGATTTCCCTGCTACAATACACCTTTCAAGCTTCAAATGCAAGAGAGGACTGGCATCCCACAGTGGGAGAAAGTGAATGTACACCACTGTTATCTCGGTGCTAATGTAACACTGCAAAGCCCATAGAGGAAATTAGCATTATTTTGATAGTAGTAATCAGGCAAAAAGGCTACTTACAAAGTGAAAAATTCTACATTAAATATGCCTACTGTTATATTAATAATATGGAGCATGGTTGCCATCAGATGACAAAAAATATAAATGTTTATGAACTTCTCATGCTTTTTTTCCATCTGTACAGGTTGTGCTGGGTTACAGAAATGCCCATAGACAAAAACACCAAAATAGAAGAGTGGTGCTTTGCATGAAAGAAAATATAAAACACTTTCTCATCTGGATATTTGGAATTTAAAGTTGTTGTCTTGAGATCTCAAGAAAACTGCTGAGTTTTCCTGGAAAAACAGCATTTCTTATCTCATGATAATGACACAAATAAAAAGTGCTGATAGCTATAGCCAACTTAGCATGCAGTAGATATCAGTTGCTCTTTTTATGTGTGGAGTGGAATGTCTGAGGCTGGCAATGTCTAGGCAACATGTGATGCTGAAAGAAGGATTTAGTTAGAAGGTACTGTAGACCAGTGGAACCAGTGTCTTTTATCAATCAGATAAAAAGAAGACAAGCCTCTCTTTGTTTATCAGATAAGACATAAGATGTCTAGATAAAAAAAATCCAATGTGGATCCTCTCAGACATCATTGTAGGTTTCAAGATATTATAACATCATAGTGCCCTGATGCACCAACAGCTGTATGACTGTCGCCCATAATGTGTGCATTGTTTCCCCCACTGTTGCTCTATTCGGCTCTCATTGGTTCCAAGTTAGCATGTTCAATGGATATTGGTGGTTGGTCTCATTTTTCAACATTGGTGCATGTAGCAAAATTTTATTGCTAAAGATCTGAATGTAACTATTTGGACTTTTTGAATGAGGGCGGCGCAGTGGGTAGCGGTGTTGCCTCACAGCAAGAAGGGGGTTCGGTTGCCCGGCCGGGCAACAAGGTTCCTTTCTGTGTGAAGTTTGTATGTTCTCTCTGTGTCTGTGTGGGTTTCCTCCCACAGTCCAAACACATGCATGTCTGGCCAATTGGACACACTAAATTTCCCCTCGGTGTGAGTGTGTATATCTGTGTGTCTGCCCTGCGATCGACTGGCGACCTGTCCAGGGTGTTTCCTGCCTTCCACCCAATGACTGCTAGGATAGCCTCCATTATCCCCCATCAACACAGAAGGAAAAGCAGTTTAGAAAATGTGTGTGTGTGTGTGTGTGTGTGTGTGTGTGTGTGTGTGTGTGTGTGTGTGTATAGAAGGGTATTTGAATATTGTATTTAAGTAGTCTTTTTAACCCCAACAAGCAAATAGTGATTTATTTTCACTTTTGCACTCTAGGTTTAGCTTAAACATGGACATTTGAAGCCGGGAGACATTCAAACAACATACTCTTTACACAACTGGTATGTTGCAGTTTGACAGTTGTACAGACTGCAGTTCTTGCTATAAAGAGTTGTTCTCTTTCCAGCAGGCACATTAAGTATGTGTGTGTTGTCCATCAGCTGTAGTCATTTCACTGCATTCAAGTGCAAATATTTAAAGGAGATGAAAAATGATGGTGGGCTGGCCTTAGTTGGCTCAGTTGGCTCATTAATCATAAAGCAATTACAGTGTTTTTAGAGCTTACAAATGATGAAATACATATCAGGTTTCAAATATGTTCCACTTGCTAGAGGATTATTGGTGGTCACTTCATAACGCATAGTACATATGCAAGGCATGGTCACAATCTTACTACTACATACTATCTGAGTAACAGAAAACATATAAAACTGACCGATCTGATGCTTCCCATTGGGTCCTTCATGATCTCTGGCATGTTCCCCACAAAGGGCAGCGGTTTGGGTCCGGGAGGGTAGCGGCTCCTGGAGGAGTTCAACTTGAAGATCTCTAGCAGAAGCAGAGAGAACAGACCACCCAGCAAGGCCAAGCCCACTGACGTCCAGTCCAAATATCTCAGCACAGACTCCATTCTGAGAGAAGTGCAGGAGAGAACAGATACTCACAGCGTTATAAGGGAAGGGAGGGTGTTTATTTTGATCACATGCCAGCCTTTCCTGTTAGGTTCCGTCATGATGGGTGTGTCTAGGGAGAAGTTGATGTTAACTGTTCAGAGGTCAAAAACAGAACTGCAGACAAAGTTCAACAGCACAGACAACCTTATTCCTGCTTTTATGGCATTTAGGTCAGATGTGTTCACACAGTTTATGCTCAGATCTTACAATCTCATATCAGCAATCAGCACTAAGAAGTCTAGAGTTACAGTAAAAATTTGAGTGAATTAAATTTTAATTTAGCATTTAATTAATTACTACATCTCTTGAGTATTTATCTTTTTAATTTAATCTGTGTCAGTCTTATATGATTTCATTGATTGCTTTTAAGATTTATTACCTGTTTGTAAAGAACTTAGAGCTGCCTCCAGCATGAAAAGTGCTCTATAAACAAATATTATTATTATTATTATTATTATGAAAAAGAACACTCAAAGCCAAAAATGATCCAGATGAGCGTCATCAGTGAGCCTTAAAAAGTAAGATCAATGCTAAACCTAATCCAATCTGTCCCCAGTTGTGAAGCAGGAACAACCAATGCTGGTATCTGGCAGCAGAACAAGTAACTGCTGTATCCCTCGGAGCCAGTATGGATAGTTCAAAGGCCAACGTCTGCTAACTGTCCCATGTGATCTGTGTGACTGTAAAGGCTTAGATTGAGAAGGCAGCAAAGCCTGTGTTTGTTCCTGTTCAATTTGTTAATAAAACCAAGCATGAGACTATTGTGTATCAAAGGATAGCCTTTCAGCTACCAGTGATAAGAACAGCATATGCAGTACAACCACAACAATAATCAATGATTATGATTAAAAGATAAAAAAGTAACATATTCAGAATACATTTAAAATACATATTGATAAGACACGTGACAAAACTCTGGTGTTGTAATTTTTAGTAATTCAGACTGTTTCTTGCTGGTACAGGTTTGCAGTTTTCTTCATGTTATGCTTCTATTGCTGTTTCATAAAAAAGTTACTTTAAATGAAGTTAGAAAATTCGTTAAATATTATATTATTTTAGCTCTCAGCCCCTGTTTCAGTCCACTGTACCTCCTACCATCCCACTGCCCTCTCAGGACCAAAGCCAATTCATTTCATAATAACAAATGCAATAACCAATGAGAAGATCTTGCAAATTTGATTATAAAGTAAGTAGTTACTTGCCACAAAACACATGCACAAGTCCCGATGGCGTTTAGTAACACTGAGAATAATATCTGGCTCATCACATTAATTTAACAGTCTACTCAGGCTTTAGCAGAGCTCAGTAACACTGAGATTAATAACTGATCACATTGATTTATCAGTCTACTCAGGCTTTAGCAGAGCTCAGTAACACTGAGATTAATAACTGATCACATTGATTTATCAGTCTACTCAGGCTTTAGCAGAGCTCAGTAACACTGAGATTAATAACTGATCACATTGATTTATCAGTCTACTCAGGCTTTAGCAGAGCTCAGTAACACTGAGATTAATAACCGATCATCACGTTGATTTATCAGTCTACTCAGGCTTTAGCAGAGCTCAGTAACACTGAGATTAATAACTGATCACATTGATTTATCAGTCTACTCAGGCTTTAGCAGAGCTCAGTAACACTGAGATTAATAACTGATCACATTGATTTATCAGTCTACTCAGGCTTTAGCAGAGCTCAGTAACACTGAGATTAATAACCGATCATCACGTTGATTTATCAGTCTACTCAGGCTTTAGCAGAGCTCAGTAACACTGAGATTAATAACTGATCACATTGATTTATCAGTCTACTCAGGCTTTAGCAGAGCTCAGTAACAATGAGATTAACACTGAGACCTTCTCACTTTCTTCCATTCTCTCACTGTCTTGTTCTACAGGTGCTGATGCTGATAGAGATCCGGTGGTGCATGCTGCTTGCAGCTGATTCAAAGGAATGCCTTATAAGCTTAGTGACCAGCTGCCTTGGGGCTCCTCCTCCTTCCCTTTTCAATCCTTCTGCAAGTTAGACTAAGAGAATACTTGCGGTGGAGTAGTCGGGCTCGCTTTTGTCAGGCTCGGACAGAATTCAGGCTCGGACAGATGATCACGGACCACACTTAAGTAAAATGGGTTTATTAACAAAGGGAGGATCCAAAATCAAGGTCAGCCAGTCCAAAACAAGAAAACAGTAACCATGTGGGGAGTCCAAAAAGCAATGTCCAAAATCAGAAACATAGGTCAAACCAAAATATTATATACTGGAAGGGCAAGGCAAAAAGGCGAGGTTGATAAACAAACAGGCAAGTATCATACACAATATAGCAATCAGACAGAGGAGAAGGCTTGGTAAGGCTCTGTAAACAAAGGCAATACTTCACAAATAAACTAAGCTAAAGCCTGGGCTTATATACTAAACTAACAAGCACATGGAACAAAGAACAGGTGTGTGTAATCAGTAGTCAGGTGAGGCAGACTGGTGTAGAGTCATGTGAGGGAGATCGGAGGTCAAGTGATCCGGAGTGGGGTTCTGGGTAATGGAGTCTGGAGGTTTTGGGGCAGAGACGGCGGGAACAGAGGGAAGCGTGACAGTACCCCCTCCCCGAGGAGTTGGGCAAGCGGAGGTATTGGACGAAGGAACCCCTGAGCCGTCGCGGTGCTGGGAAAGTGAAGGACTGGGGGAACAACCACTAGAATGGGTACAGGAACAGACAGGAAAGGAACTGGAAAGTGACTTCTGGGGATGGCCTCCAGGACGCAGTGCTGGCTTATTTGCATGGTGACTGTTGAAATCTGCCACCAAGGCCAGATCCAGCACATCCTTGGCTGCCACCCAATATCTTTTCCTTTGGGCCGTATCGCTCCCAATCTATGAGGTATTGCAGTTCCCCTCCACGCCTCCTGGAGTCCAGCACCTCACGAACGACATACACTGGGGAGCCATCCACTACCAAAGGAGTAGGTGGGGCCATGTTGAGCGACACCTCGTCCAGTGGACCCGGAAACACAGGCTTGAGGAGGGACACATGAAAAGAGGGTGAGATACGATACTGAGCAGGCAAGCCAAGCTGGTAAGCAACTTCATTTATTTGTTTACTAATCTGGAATAGACCGATATACTTAGGGTGCAATTTCTTACAACCCTCACCAAACCTGAGATCCCTGAGATTGTTCCAGTAACCTTGTTCCAGTAACCTGGCTTGTTTAGTGTTTTCCTGATGGTGGACTCATGAACGTAAGCATTAGCCACTGTGAGACAGGCCTTTAGTTGCTTAGAAATTACCCTGGGTTCCTTTGTGACCTCCCAAACTAGTACATGCCTTGCTCTTTGTGTGATCTTTGTTGGTTGACCACTCCTGGAGAGCAGAACAATGGTCTTGAATTTCCTCCATTTGTATACAATCTGCCTGACTGTGGATTGGTGGAGTCCAAACTCTTCAGAGATGGTTTTGTAACCTATTTCAGCCTGATGGACATCAAAAACTCTTCTTCTGAGGTCCTCAGAAATCTCCTTTGTTCATGCCATGATACACTTCCACAAGCATGTGTTGTGAACATCAGACTGTGAGAGATCCCTGTTCTTTAAATAAAACAGGGTGGTCACTCACACCTGATTGCTGTCCCATTGAGTGAAAACACCTGACACTAATTTCACCTTCAAATTATCTGTTAATCCTAAAGGTGTACACACTTTTGCCACTCACAGATCTGTAATATTGGATCATTTTCCTCAATAAATAAATAACCAAGTCAAATATTTTTCATTTGTTTAATTTGGTTCCTTTATCTACTATTAGGACCTAAAACTGATGAAGTTTTAGGTCAAATTTATGCAGAAATATAGAAAATTCTAAAAGGGTTCACAAACTTTTGTGGCACCACTGTATGTTACATAATTATTTCTATGCAATCACATCAAATTCCATTTGATCTTGACAGAAGGAGCATCTCCATGTTTTTGACTAATCTTGGTCCATATTGTTCTGTATCTTGCACATCAGAATGGGCCATCATGTAAATGAGACCCCATCTGAGAGTGGTGGCCATAGTATCCGTTCCAGCAAAGAAAAGGTCAGCAGTGGACATAATCCTGTTATCGTCATGGAATTTTACAACTTACCCCACAAACAGGGATAAATGTTATATTTTTTTTAGAAAAGTATAGCAAACACAACTAATTCCATACAATTCTATGTTGTTTTAACTTATGTGCATCAAAGTAAATATGATTAGTGGAGCTGTACTTTGGCCTGGCTATCTCTCACTGTGAGCTGTCTATCTGCTTCTAAACACTTTGCTTTTTATAGACATACTGCAGCTTTATTACAGTGACTATCATCATATCATAATCATACGCTTTTCACTCTGACACTTATACACAGCTCGGTAAAAAACACAATATAAAGAGTTACTTTTATAGTAAAACAACAGTCTTCAGGGTTTTGAGAAATGTCCGATACATGTCAGATATTTGTCAAAACAGGATTCAGTGAGTGGTCTCTCTGCTGTGGCAGATTGTGTTGAAGGGGAACGGAGAGCGGACAATGCCCATGATGCCATCCATGTTTGGGGGTGGAGCTCCAGGAGGCCACGAGAACTTCAGCCGCTGGAGCAGAGAGGTGAAGAAGATGAAGAGCTCAGTTCTCGCCAGAGTCTCACCCAGGCACACCCTCGGACCTGCATCACACACACACAATGATGAATATACACAGCGACAGTTGAATGAAATCTTTGCATTCATTTTGGTTCATACAGGTCAGTTTAATACACTTCAAAATGGCCAGTAGTGTAACCATGTATAAACAAGGAATACTGTATTTTTCATGCAACTTAAATACAAGTGATCAGTCATATATTAATTATTAAAGCTGCACTATATAGGTTTTGGGGATTTGGAGACCTCTTTGGTAAAAAAGTGTCACTGCACACAATATGTGGAAGAACATTTTGTAACATGACTTGTGCTTCAGACTCCTTTCCTAAGCAGATGATTGTGAGTGTTTTCAAAGTGAATTCAAAGAGAACTCTTTGGTGAAGGACGTGTCTTCTGAGGATGTGAGTGAATGATTTACTATTGACATCGTATATTAATAAGTACAGTATTGATTTTTAGATCATTTGAGACCTAAACATTGAGCCAGACCCTCTTTTTGAGACTGTGCATGTGATGATGTGGTGTGAAAAATCCTGACGCCTCTGACTTTTAAATGATTATTTCAGGCTTTACAGCTCAGCTTGTTTTCATTCTCCTGACTATAATACTTTTTTCAGTTTTAATAAAAAAATACATATAGTGCAGTATTGAATTGTCTAGAATAATGGTCACTTAATGAATTCTGTTTTATTTATAATTTTTTGTTTTTTTTTGTAAATATTTGTGGTGACTTTCCATCTGGCCATTTGTTTGTGATAATTAAAGAGATAAAAATAATGCTGGTTCCCTGTGTGACTCCTGTTCTGGTTCCCTATGCCGATCCAGTGCCGGCTTCTCGATCTGCTGCTCATCCTATGATGGTTCCCTCTGTGACCCCTCTGCCAGCTCTCTGTGCTGATGCAGTGCAGGCTTCCCAAGCTGCTCCCTGTCCTGTTCCTGTGCCAGCTTTTTGACCTGTAGCTTCTGTGCCAGCTCTCTGTCCTGATACAGTGCTGGCACCACATGCAGCTTCTGATCTGGTGCCAGCTTCCCAAGCTGCTGCTCTTCCTGAGGTGGTTCCCTGTGCAGCCCCTTTGCCAGCTACCCATCATGTTCCGGTACCAGCTTCTCAGTTGCTCCCTGTTCTGTTCTGGTGCTGGCTTTCCTTGCTGCTTTAGTGCCAGCTTTTAGGACTGCTTCTCCTGTGCTGGTTCCCAGAACTGCTTCAGTGCCAGCTTTTAGGATGGATCCTCCAGACCCTGTTTCCCAATGCCTGACTCAGCCTGTCCACACTGCTGGACCTGCCCCATCCCCTCTGTCTCTGTGTTTGTACCTGCGTTCTGAGTCTGGTTCTTTGTATTGTTTTTTGTTTGCTGTTTTTGACCCCTGCTTATCTCTCTGGTTTTTTGAGTATGGATCTGCATCTTCTATATAAACTTGTCCATCAATTGAATCAATTCATATTACAAATTTCATTTGGACTAATTATTTTAGCCACAACCTTTGCTAACAGGTGAATATAATCAACTATACAACTATACAATCTCAATAGAGAAACACTGGCAGTAGAATGGGTGGTACTGAAGAGCTCAGCAACTTTCAACATAGGACGCCACTAGTCCAACAAGTAAGTTTCAAATTTCTACCCTGCTAGTTCTGCCCCAGTCAAGAGTAAATGCTGTTATTTTGAAATGGAAGCATCTAGGAGCAGCAACAGCTCAGCCATAAAATGGTAAGCTACCAGAACATGACACAAGATACATTTTTACCTTTAAGCCTTAATATATCTACACCCATACATTAACCTTTGTGTCTGATGCTGAAGTAAGGTTTGGCAGTATGACAACATTTTATCAGCCTGTTTTGTTTTGATTTAGTGCAGAGCCATATTTGAAATGATGAATAGAAATTGTACTCAAATCAGTTTTTAAATGTGGCACTTGTGTTTCTTTTTGTCTCTTCAAACTTACTAAACTTCAGAAAAATTAAATATTGTGATATGTACTGTATGTTGCGAAAATATCTTCAAGTATCGTGATGATACATATTTTGCCATATCGCCCACCCTTGTGTTGTTGAAGGTTATTTGGCAGTGATGTGCGTAACTCATTAGCATTGCTCTAGACACATCAGACTCACCCAGAGAGAACGGCACAAAGAAGTCATTTTTGCAGAACTGTCCTTTCTCATCCAGAAAGTTCTTTGGGTTGAACGTGTCCGGGTACTTCCAGTGCTTTTTGTCCTTCAAGATGGCCGTTAGGTTGGGCATGACCTTTGTTCCCTGTCATGGCACAAAAAATTGAAAAAACACCACACATAAATCAAACAGTCTATCAAAGTAACATCATGTAACAATTTTACGGTAACACTTTCTATGAATGTCACCTTTGTTGCATTCATAAGGCATTATAAACATGTCTATAAATATTTATAAAAATGCATTACATGTTATAGCCATGCTTATTATGCATTATGAATTGTTAACATAATACATTATAAGTACTGTTCATAACAAATTATAAGAGCTCATAAGTTGTATTTGTCTGCTCTAAGTAAAGTGAAGCGTACTGTACTAAAGCCTCCTCCAGGGTTAAGAGTGAGGCTTCAAGTTGAAGTATTTACTGAAGGATTTACTGAAACACTAAAACATACACAGTAAAGCACATTACAGGCTTCAAATGTCAGAGTTGAAACTAGTGCTGCCATCAGTGTTTTACCCAATGTGGGAAAGTCAATGTACACCACCGTTAGCTTGGTATTTGTCTTTACTTTACACTCTCCAAGCTGGGACTGACTTCTTTGGCACTGACAGTATAACATGTTATCAACACTACTTATAATGCATTATATTAACAATTCATAATGTATAATAAACATGGCTATAAAGTGTAATTAATTTTTATAAATGTTTATAATCATGTTTATAATGCCGTATGAAGGCATTATAACATGTTATAAATGTGTTTATAAATGCTTACAAACGTGACATTCATAGACAGTGTTACCAATTTTACCTTAAGAAACTGCTTTGAAATCATTTTGATGGTACACTGACTTATAACAGGAAGAGTGGCATCCCTTGTCATTGCCACTCCAGGCTCAGAAAGCCTGCTATAGCTTTATGATACCATGTAACACACCAACAATTCAGCTAGCTATAAAAAGAAGTAGCTTGGTATTTCCAGCATGGATGTAATACAAGGCTGTAAAGAGACAGAAGAAGATGCTGTTCGAGGAAGAGAAAAAGACAGAGTGTCCGAGCAAGAAGCTGAACCAGAGTAGATATCGGTCTGGCTTTTACTCATTGACGAGAGCTAAAAGAGTGTCCATCTTTGCCAATGTTATTTATCAAAGATTGCGATGTAGGTTGTGACCTTATCTGTAAAATGCCTGTCTCCGAGAGTTTTGGGATGCCAAAAGTAATCTAACCTTAGTCCTATTTCAGGCAAGCATGCAAAGAAATACATTCATCTCATGGCAAAAAGTTTGGTCAGTCTTTGTCAATTTCACACCCAATAAGCCTTGAAAGTGTGTAACCTCCTGTAATAAATTCCTGTTATATTATTACAGATAATCTTTTCAAAAATGTAACCATAACCTAATTAAACATTTTCTACATTAAAGTAACATCTACATTCTACATTACTTTCCATTACTTTTGAATTATCATCTTTTTAGGGCCACAAAAAGTAGCCATTCCTCTATCCCTCCATTACCTTGGGGAGGTTGTATCCCCGGAGCTGTGTTGGCTGGGTGGTTTCGTGTATGGCATTGGGGACGATGTCCGAGCAGCGCTGGATCTCGTGGATAGTGGCGTAAGTGTATGGTAGCTGTGTGCGGTCATTCATGCAAGGAGAACGGTCAAAACCCAACACTCGTATGATCTCCTCATGACAGCGCTCTGACATGTGGTCAAGCGGAGGAACAAAGAGAACAAAATTATGCACATAACTCAATAATGACAGTTTTACTAACTGTTTTATTAACTAGTTCCATTCAACTTTTAAGATCTAGAAATATTATTGCTTCTTTGTTATACATTCTACATTACATAATTATGTCTATGCAGTTGCATCAAACTGCATTTGACCACGGCATGACAGAAGGAATGTTGCTATCACCATATTGTTGATGAAACTTAGCCTTTACTGTTCTGTACCTTGCACATCAGGGTGGTCCATCATGTAAATGAGGCCCCATCTGAGAGTGGTGGCTGTAGTGTCCGTCCCAGCGAGGAAAAGGTCAGCAGTGGACATGATCATGTTATCCTCATGGAATGTAGAGTCTTCTTTTGACACTTGCTGCCCAGAACAAGAAGAGATGTGTTTGTGTGTAACACATTAGCTACCAAATAAGACTGTAGGCTGATAGAATGATTGATTCATTACAGGCTGTAGGGGGTAACCTCTACAACTCCGTTGTGTTTGCACCTTGAAAATTTCTACTTCTAACAACTCTTGTCTTTGGTACAGGACATTAGAAAAAAAAATAAATAAAAATGATGTGCATAGTGATGTGCATTGTGGCAAATAAAAATTTTACTCCACTTGCCCACATCTTGTGAATTTTTTTTGCAGCCAGTTCTTGCAATTACTACACACATTTTCTACCCTACTCCTGCTAATCCATGTTTTCTGTGGATTTGTTTCCTAATTCTGACAAGCTATAATCCACTGCTATGTCATGACCTTAGTAAGCTGTCTAGCTGGGTCTAAATTAGCAGACTGCAGACTCTATAAAACATTATAATAACACATATTACACATAATAACACACAGACTCTAAAACAACACCCCTACACTCTGATACTCCTCACGCAGCGCAAGAAAGCCAGTTCTTAAACTTCAACAACCAGCTCTGAAAACCTGTTTCCAAAATTGATATTTTGTATAGAAAACAATTCTGACAGCACATGTGTTCTGAAACCTGAAGAGGTATTTTGTGTGTTTTTTCTCTGGCAGCTAAAAGGAACTTTTCTAATTCCTGTGTCTGTAGCACTACTGTAGAAAGTACTTAAAAAAACACTATGCTATCTACTGTTTACCCCTTGGGGGATGCTTACAAATGCACGTTTCTACAATTATTCATTCAGGCAATGACTATTGTTTACTTTAATCTGGTACACTTTGTTTCACTTTTTGCAGTGCAGGGGGTCGCAGCACTAGACAATGTAATGTCTTTTATAACACTGTTGATAAATAATGGATGAGACAAATAAGTTTAATAAAAATTAGGGTCCTTCCTCTCACAGTGGTCTCTGCTGCTGAACTGAAAGGTTTCTTTTGCTATTTGACCTCTCACCTTGGTCATCTCCATGAGGTAGGCATCAATGAAGTCTCTAAGGTGTTCTGGGTCCAGAGACTTCCTGTGCTCCTCCACAGCCTCATGGATGAACTCTTTTAAGGAGTTGGCATTCTGCCACACCTTCTGGTGTGGCCCTGGGAAGTGCTTTATGAAGGGGAACAGGTTGAAGATCTGAAGAAGAAGAATGTTCAGTGGTGTCATTAAAAACGATTACATTTTTGAAGATTCTTTATATTTAGGAACTTTATTTTCACAGTAGGAGCTACTTATAAAAAAAGTCAAATGTTGAGCTGAGGCTAAATTAGCATCTCTTAAGGTATATTTACTAAAGAGAACTGGTTGCCTGTACAAGGGTAGTAAAGGATTAAATCAAATTTTCAGTGGATATTGTCCATTAAAAATCATTTTGTTCTAGGTATAAACTTAACCTGGAAATTACCACAGAAGAATTTCAAAATATCTGTAATTTATACAGTAATCTAGATTAATATAATTTTCTTTGCTCTAGAAACCTAACTAATGATACACTATATTGCCAAAAGTATTCGCTCGTCTGCCTTCACACACATATGAACTTGAGTGACATCCCATTCTTAATCCATAGGGTTTAATATGATGCTGGCCCATCCTTTGCAGATTTAACAGCTTCAACTCTTCTGGGAAGACTTTCCACAAGGTTTAGGAGTGTGTTTATGGGAATTTTTGAACATTCTTCCAGAAGCGCATTTGTGAGGTCAGACATTGATGTTGGACGAGAAGGCCTGGCTCGCAGTCTCCGCTCTAATTCATCCCAAAGGGGTTATATCGGGTTGAGGTCAGGACTCTGTGCAGGGCAGTCAAGTTCTTCCACACCAAACTCGCTCATCCATGTCTTTATGGACCTTGCTTTGTGCACTGGTGCGCAGTCATGTTGGAACAGGAAGGGGCCAAACTCCCCAAACTGTTCCCACAAAGTTGGGAGCATGAAATTCTAAAAATCTCTTGGTGCTGAAGCATTAAGAGTTCCTTTCACTGGAACTAAGGGGCCGAGCCCAACTCCTGAAAAACAACCCCACACCATAATCCCCCTCCACCAAACTTTACCCTTGGCACAATGCAGTCAGACAAGTACCGTTCTCCTGGCAACTGCCAAACCCAGACTCGTCCATCGGATTGGCAGACGGAGAAGCGTGATTGGTCACTCCAGAGAACACGTCTCCACTGCTCTAGAGTCCAGTGGCGGTGCTTTGCACCACTGCATTTGGCGCTTTGCATTGCGCTTGGTGATGTAAGGCTTGGATGCAGCTGCTCGGCCATGGAAACCCATTCCATGAAGTTCTCTATGCTGTTCTTGAGCTAATCTGAAGGCCACATGAAGTTTGGAAGTCTGTAGCGATTGACTCTGCAGAAAGTTGGCGACCTCTGTACACTATGCGCCTCAGCATCCGCTGACCCTGCTCTGTCATTTTATGTGGCCGACCACTTCATGGCTGAGTTGCTGTCATTCCCATTCGCTTCCACTTTGTTCTAATACCACTGACAGTTGACCGTGGAATATTTAGTAGCGAGGAAATTTCATGACTGGACTTGTTGCACATGTGGCATCCTATCACAGTACCACGCTGGAATTCCCTCAGCTCCTGAGAGCGACCCATTCTTTCACAAATGTTTGTAGAAGTTTGTAGAAGCAGTCTGCAGGCCTAGGTGCTTGGTTTTATACACCTGTGGCCATAGAAGTGATTGGAACACCTGAATTCAATGATTTGGATGGGTGAGTGAATACTTTTGGCAGTATAGTGTAGGTCTTGACTCTGAGCATCAATAATCATCAGGGAACATCTAGCTGGTTGTTACCCATCCTGGAGTTGATCCAATAAGCCGAATGTTTTCATTCAGAATTTCCAGCAGCTTAGCAAAGCGCTTGTTGTCATACTCAAAGCGGTCCCCAAAGACAACAGAGCAGATGATGTTTGAGACTGCGTTCATAATAGGGTGGATCGGATGAAAAGCCTTCCCTTCAAAACAAAATGGCAGGACAAAGAACTTGATGGAGGAAAAATAATAATTACAATTACTATTATTTATTAATAAATAATAAATAATAACCCACCGCTTTCGGTCTGAGTTCAAGATGCTTACATGAAAAAAAACCCTCTGCTTTCCCCAAACTGCACAAAGTGTTGACCAGCACAGAGACTAAATCTCAGTGGCAAAACTAATCAGAATGTTCCTTTCAGCTGGGAATAGGATGGATATTTGCCAATCAGTAAAGCCTTAATGGGTTCATGTTCACTGAGAGGAGATGCAGCTCAATAATCCAGTAAAAAGTTTTTGCTGTGATACACCAATCAACACAATGAGTCACAGTATATGTTACTACACTATGTGAGTTTGAATATTTCTTACTGTTATCACTAAACAAAGGTCACTTTTAGACCTACCTTGGTTGGTGCAGACTTTTGCGTTTGGGCTGTTTTAGTATGTGAACACTGTATTCATTACTGCACCAAACAACTGAACTGGGTAAATTCATGAGAGAATTTAACACCAGAGCATGTTTTCCTCAGTAGTCTCTGCACAATCTGCCTGCTTAACCATTAACTCTTTACAAACATTATCATTCTTGCAGCCTGAGCTGCTGTCAATTAAGGCAATAAAATGATAGCACAGATGCGTTTTGACTCATGCATCACTGAGCATACATTTGGTTATATTCCAACCAATCTAAAATCCACATAGATGATAATCATCTGTATTTTTTCTGTTTTTGTGATGGCAAGGAGCACCTGCTTCCCTGCAAAACTGATGCAGACTTTAGAAAATGAACTGGGTATGAAAACAGCCTGATGTTCTTCAGGGATAATCAATAAGTTTTGCCCCACTACTTTTGGAGGTGTGGTGCCACCCCTGCCATGAGGGTTAATTTGAGTACCCACTCTAACATCTACACTGATGCTTTCAAAAGGTTAGTAAATGCAGGTGTGTCTACCTTCCTGCTTGAGCATCTCTTTTATGAGGTATTGAGCCTCTTCGGCCACACGCTCCTCCACGGTTTTCTTCCCCAGACCAAAGTTGCGCAGCGTGTGCAGAGCAAAGCGGCGCTGCTGTTTCCAAGAATGACCATATGCGGCCATCAGGATGCCTGATAGAGGTAGACAGAGGTGGAGTAAAAAAAGAGATATAAAAAAGAGGTATAGAAAAAAGAAAGAAAACAGAAGCGAATATAAGAGACAAAGGGAAAAGGTAGGATTTTTAGTTATCTATTAAAGGATGTATCTCACTCTACAGATAAAATAGCAATGCTGAGAATAAAGCAGAGAAGTTCATGATTCTTATGTTACTGACCATACCCGTTGGTAATCCAGTCTATCATTGGCTCAACCGGCCTTCCAGAATACACAGGCCCATTCTGAACAAAAGTTTCCTTCACTATCTGCAGGGTATTCAACATGATGACTGGCTGCCTGCCCAGGTACAAGGTAGAAATTTCCCCATATTTCGGCATCTGAAGAAAAGTGAAAGCTTAATGGGAAAGTGTAGGATGCAATAGTTTTACAGACACCATATTTTGATATTTGACATTGATGAAGAGGCCTGGTTTCAAGTTTGTTCACTGGTCGATTTAGAATGCAAATCTTAATATTGTCAATGATCAGCTGAAGACTTCAGCACATGAGTAGTGAATTCACACACAGTTCAGTGATTTCCCTGCTCTAAGACAACAAACTAAAGCTTAAAATATAAGACAGAACTGACACAAGTATTATTAAACCCAGTGGGAGAAAGTAAATGTACACCACTGCTATCTCGGCACAAACATAACACTGCAAATCCCATAGAGAAAATCAGCATTATTTTGGCAGTAGTAATTGGATAAACAAAGGCTGTTTTCAAAGTAAAGAATTCTACATTAAACATGTTAGGTTGCAGAGATGACCACAGAAAACCAAATCCTGGAAGAGTGGTGCTTTACATGAAAGAAAACATTTAATACTTTCTCATTGGGATATTGTAAGTTCAGTTAGTTCAAAATTGTTCAATTTTCTTGGTAAGAATGACAGTTCTTATCTTGAGATGATGACAGAAGTAACTCAAGATATCAAGAAAATGAACTTAATAATTAACTCATGATCATGGTAAAAAGAAGTAAATAAAACATTTGAATCGTTGGCCTTTTAGGGCTTCTATAATTAAAACATTCTTTAATTTGTATTTTTTACAATGCCTTCTTCAGTAAATATTTCAACTTACAGCCTAACTCTGAATATTACTGGATTAGCCTGTTAGCCAGTTATCCATCTACCAAGCAAACAAATCCACATTTTTACATAGGGTGTGTTATATGGTTTCAGGCATTTTTACTGCAATTTGTGACTGCAAACATATATGCATTCATGAGATTATGCTGGAGTGGGTTCATGCTGGTTTCCTCCCTTTGAATGGATGAGCACAAAAGCTAATTGCTCATCAATGTGAAGAATCTTCTGCCTGCTGAACATGAGTGAAGCTGCCTCACAACATAAAAAAAAAAAATAATAATGTCTCACATCTTACTGAGAGCTCAATCTCAAAGATACAGTAATCTTGTGTTGATTTTTGTACCAGCCAGAATCAACTGTTCAGCATGACAAGGACCTACGAAACAAACTGTTAAATTACAGATGCTTGCAAGTTCAAAGAATTAGGTAACGGTTGCATGATTGACTGCTGTGGCTGGCTACAATTCATTAATTGTAGTCTACTAATCAATTCATTCATTAAATGACTGCTAGAAACTAATTAGTATGAGTCAGCAATCACGCAAGGATATCTCCCTTCAATGCTTCAAAGAAAACTCTTGAACTGGTGAACTCTTGAAGTGGTGAACTTCAAAAACTTTTGTACCAGGCAGAAACTATTTATTCCTCTGAAAAGCTCAGAATGGGCAACTGTTTGCAAAAGTTTGTTTCCTAGCAGATGGATGCAGCCCACTACACACAAGTTCATTCACACCCAGGTGTAGATAGCCTATCAGAATGGAACTGAAAAAATCCTGCTTGGAGTGGAGTGTCTGAGGGTAAGACTAGGCTTCATGTAAGGATGAAATAAAGTTTTAACTAGAAGGTACTATAGATCAGTGACCCTGTGTCTTTTATCAGTCAGAGAAAACGAAGACCAGCCACCCCTTGTTTATAAGTTATAAGATGTCTTAATATGAAAATCTACCAATGCACTTCTTACAGACACCACAATGGGTTTCAAAATAGTCTATCATCATAGAGCCCTGAAACACCAACAGCCGTACCACAGTTGCCCATAATTCGTGCATTGTGTCCTGCGTTGTTGCGCTCATCAGCGCCAAGTTAGCAAAGTTTTATTTTTGTTGGGAATTTAACTGTTTGTGTTATTTAAATGTCTACATTTTTAATAGACATGCACTTGAAGATCATATTTAAGCAGCCATTGATTCTAACAACACCAAGCTCACTGTGGTTCATTTTCACTTTCACACATTAGGTTTAGCATAAACACAGACGTTTGAGGCTTGGAAGACTTTCAAACTATATTGTTGCTACAGTACTACACGCTATCTTACTAATAAAAACAAAAAAGAACTGACCAATCTGGTGAAGGCCATTGGAGCCTTTATGATCTCTGGCACATTCCCCACAAAGGGCAACGGTTTGGGTCCGGGAGGGTTGCGGCTCCTGGAGGAGTTCAACCTGAAGATCTCTAGCAAAAGCCGAGAAAGCAGACCACCCAGCAGGGCCAAGCCCACTGACGTCCAGTCCAAATATCTCAGCACAGACTCCATTCTGAGAGAAGTGCAGGAGAGAACAGATACTCACAGCTTTATACACCAAAAACAGGAGAAGGGAGGGTGTTTATTTTGATCACGTGATAGTCACTCGTGTAAGCTTCCATCATGATGGGTGTTTCCAGGAGATGTTAATGTAACCTGTTCAGTGGTCAGAAACAGTACAGAACTGCAGACAAAGTTCAATAGCTTACCTTAACTTTACAATCGATTTTATGGCAATTAGGTCAGATGTGCTCAAAGAGATTACACTCTGATCTTACAATCTCATGTCAGCATCAGCACTATTGCAAAAATGGAACAAACCAAATTTGAGTGACCTGCAACCTGTATTAGTCCAGAATTTCACCTTTGTGTCACATAGTGTGTCTGCACACAGTATAAAATTGGGTAAAAGAGCATGGCTTCCTTCGTTGCTTGCTTTCCTTTTGTAGATGCAGAATTTAAGTCTGACATTTGAAGTGTTAAGTGTACACATTAACATTAAAATCTAACCAAGTTTATTTTGATTAAAAGAATACCATATGTAAATATTAGTAACAGTGATAGCGACAGTGCTAGTTTTAGAATAAAGCCAAAGGTGATGCATTTAGGCCCAATCCCATTTCTTCTTTTTACCCCTATCTCTTATTTTCGAGTGTCACCCTAACCCCTTGGAATAGAGTTACAAAGGGCAGTGGTTGAAATGTTGCCCTATGAAATGGGACCTTCAACATCGCATCATTAACAGGCTACTAGTGGTGCTCTCTAGGCGACCCAGCCCGTCAGTGATAGCAGAGGAGGGAAAAGTTCAGCAACCTCATCGCAGGGCTTTAGTTACATTTAGGGCATCATATGCTTCCAAAGAGGGGGTATAAGACCATTATTTATTTTCACCCTCTGCTGATTCTTTGGTGATATGAAGCTGAAGTCAGATATTCACCAGGTTCTTGTTTGAATTTTCCCATTCTACCTTAAATGGTGCAGCAGTTACATTCTGGCACTTCAAGCGTCAATACTGCTGGATTATTTCATGTGGAACGGGAAAATTGGCTAGCTAGCTACCAAGAAATTAGCATACTTTTAACGATTTTATTATGCTTGTTATGAAGAAAACGACCATTATACATTGAAAAGATAATACAATGAAGATAATACAATGGTTATCGTAATATTTAACAGAGAGAAAATTCTGACATTTGTGGGTTTCTTTGGTCTCTCGTTCAGCCATCTTGCCGGTTTTTCTTTTTTTCTCATAACACTCCGTTTGGAGTGAGCCTCTGAAAAACCTCAATTGGAGGGCCATGTAGCACTAACACTTTGCCCTACCTCTCTATCTCAACAACAATTGGGACACCCTACCCCTAGACGCGAACGCACAAACCAGAGGGCTAAGAGCTAAGTGGTAGGGGCAAGGGGTGAAATGGGATTGGGCCTTAATGTAGTGATATCAGGACTCACCAGCATGCAAACCTTTCAGCTGTCTACGTCACGTTTGGACCAAAAGAGTTTGTGCTTTTAACAATAGTTTAATAGAAAAGTCTAATCATTATTTTGGCAAAACCTGGAAGACATTTTGATGAACACGAAGCTTAGCGTTGAAGGTAAATATGCCAAAAGAATAAACAGATAGATGTTTTATGCTGACGAAAATATAAAATATATTTATACACACACGTTTCACATTAAAGATATAAAAATTATATATATATATATATATATATATATATATATATATATATATATATATATATATACAGGTCATTGTCTGTTTAAAAGACATTATAATGGATACACAACATGCTTATGAGTCATCAAAAAACAGGAACAAACACTATGACTGAGCCTTCTCCATCTAAGCTTTTACAATCACACAAACACATTGGACAATTAGCAAACTTTGGCCTGTGAATTGTTCTCCTGTACTGGTGCCAAGATATACAGCAGTTACTTGTTCTGCTGCCAGGTAGCAGCATGGGTTGTTCCTGCTTGACAACCAAACAAAACTAGACAGTGTGTGGATCAGCTTTAGCATTGATCTTGCTGTGTTAAAGCTCACCGAGAAGGCTCAACCAGATCACTTTTGACATTGACTGATTATAATCATAATATCTTTCTTTATAGAGCACTTTTCATACTGTTGGCAGCTCACATTGCTTAGAAGTAATAGAAAAAACAATGAGTATCATTTTAAAATCATATAAGACAATGGCACAGATCAAAACAACCTCTTAGATGGCCAGGGCCTGCCAGCTGGCCCAAAGTTTTATTATACACTTCTATAACCTAAGAATACCTCAAACAGTTTGCACTGAAGTCCTGTAGTTAAAGCAATCTCATTACGATTGTTCCATTTGTGTGACCAATAGGCTGCTAAGTAGGAGTCTTCATAGGACAGTCCCACTGAGGACCTGGCCTACCTCAGAATATGGATAGAAAATGTGCAAGATGTCAATCTATATGGGCAGGTAAGTTACACTAAGATCAGAGATCTTAAGATCGCCTTGTGCAGTTTTCAGAGTGCCAGATCCATATTTTTAGCATACGGTGGGATGTACACAGCGGTGACAATGATCCCAAAATCAGCTGCACGAGATGATTAGATACTCCAAGTCTGGGGAATAGAAAGACTCAATGAAGTGTGCATTCAAAAAACTTACACCTCCCCCCTTTACTCTTCCCGGAGAGGTCCTTTGTTCTGTCCACACGGTGATAGCCTGGTCTCTGGGAGGCAGATTATACAGCAGTACCGTGTCTCTCACTGGAAAGAGATCTGTACCCTGAGTTCACTGATTTTGTTGTCCAGGGACTGTACATTTGCCAGGAGTATGGCATGGGGAATGGGGGCCAGTTAGCACGGCCTCTCAGCCTGACCAGAGTGCCGTTTTCCATGTATCTGCGTTCAGAAACTCAAAAATATGGATTTCGGTGAGTGATCGTCGATGTAGTTTTGAGAAAGTGTTTGTCTGTTGTAAGCGAAGGTGCTGGCAACATTTACTGCAAACGTGGTTCTTTGCAGCTATAACAGCTTCCACCCTTCTGGGAAGCTTTCTATAAGAGTTCTCCAAAATGTCTTGGTCTGCTGAAGCATTAAGATTTCCCTTCACTGGAACTGAAAAACAATGCCATAGCATTATCCCTCCTCTATCAAACTTTACAGGCGGGTATCATTCTCCTGGCATGCACCAAACTCAGAATCGTCGTGTTGAAATACTTTTGTCCATATATATATATATATAATATATATATATATATATATATATATATATATATTCACAACCCCATTTCCAAAAAAGCTGGAATGCTGTGCAAAATGTAAATAAAAACAAAATGCAATGATGTGCAAATCATTTAAACCCTATATTTTATTGAAAATAGTACATAAATAACATCAAATGTTGAAACTGAGAAAATGTATTGTTTATTGAATAATATTTGCCAATTTTGAATTTGATGCCAACAACACATTCCAAAAAATTTGGGACAGGGGCAACAAAAAGAAAGGTAAAGTTATGAAATAAAAAAATGAATAAATAACACTTGGTGGTTAATTAGCAACAGGTCAGTAACATAATTGGGTTTAAAAGAGCATCTCAGAGAGGCTGAGTCTTTCAGAAGTAAAGATGAGGAGGGGTTCACCACTCTGTGAAAGACTACATGATCAAATTGTGCAACAGTTCAAGAATAACAGTTCTTAACATAAAATAGTGAAGAACTTTTGCTTTTCATCATCTACGGTACATAATATCATTAAAGATGTATGTTAGGGAAAGGATAAAAAACAGTATTGTCTGGCCGTGTTCTTTGGGCCCTCAGGCAGCACTGCATTAAAACAGGCATGATTCTCTAGTGGAAATCACTGCATGGGCTCAGAAACACTTCTGAAAACCACTGAACTCTAAAATGCAAGTTAAAACTCTAAAACACAAATAAGCAAACCATATAGAATCAGGATCCAGAAATGCTGCCACCTTCTCTGGACCCAAGCTTATTTAAAATGGACTGAGGCGAAGTGGAGAAGTGTCCTGTGGTCTGACAAATCAACATTTGAAATTTCTTTTTGGAAATCATGGACGCTGTGTCCTCCGGGCTAAAGACCACTCAGCTTGTTATCAGTACACAGTTCAAAAGCCAGTATTCCTGATGGTATAGGGTTGCATTAGTGCACATGGCATGGGTGACATGCACATCTCTGAAGGCACCATTAATGCTGAACAATATATACATGTTTTGGCAACATATGCTGCCATCTAGATGATGTCTTTTTCAGGGAAGGTATTGCCAAACCATATTCTGCATTTATTACAACAGCTTTACTCTGTATTAAAAAAGCAGTGCCTGCAGTCCAGATCTGTCATCCATTGGAAACATTTCACGCATTTTAAAACAAAAAATAACAAATGAGTCCCTGAACTGTTAAGCAGCTGAAATCCTATATTAAACAAGAACAGGAAAACATTTCACTTTCCAAACTACAGAAATTGGTCTCCTCAGTTCCCAAATGCTTACAGAGTGTTGTTAAAAGAAGAGGTGATGAAACACAGTGGTAAACAGGCCCCCGTCCCAACTTTTTTGGAACTTCTTGTTGGCATCAAATTCAAAATGGGCATATATATTTTTCAAAACACAATAAAAATGATCAGTTTCAACATTTGATATGTTGCCTTTGTAGTATTTTCCTTTAAAAATATGGTTACCATGGTTTGCATATCATTGCATTCTATTTTTATTTACATTCTGCACAGTGTCCCAACTCAGTCCATGGGGTTGTATATGTAAATCATAATGATAAGTAATATGAATGTGTGTGTCTGGGCCCTTGTGATCATTTTCTAGCGCCCACTCAGATTTACATCTGCCATGTCTTTGCATAAAAGCTGATTTTTTATAACAGTTTTAATTTTAGATCATGAATATGTTGATTGTCATGTTTGAACTGCTGTATTGTCTTTTTTTCAGTACTACCACAATCTCTAAACGTCAGATAAATACATAAATGTAAATGTGAATATCACTTCACTGACTCAAAAATGGCTGTTATCTTGCTC